AGCCCTGATCCCAGACCTGAACGCGTCTACAAACTTACTGTTAGAATAATTTGAATGATAATTTAAAATTTCATGATAAATTAACATAATTTTGTCATCTACCATACATTACATATATATACTATAGTACCGGGTGAAACTTGGTATAATGAAAATTATTTAGCAGAGTGTGAAATAATTTGATTTGTTTCATTTAATTAAAATGTCACAAGTGTTATACATTTTTCTATTGCGTCACAACGCAGCCAGTGACAACTTCAACATGTTATCGCAATGTTATCATCGATGTGATAAGAAACATGCCACAAGCGCCTGACAAATACCATAGGTTTTCATTTCCGTTTGTGTTAAAGCATATTTGCTAATTTGCTTTAGCACTATCTATATTATATCTTACTAGTTGTCCCGGCAAACGTTGTTTTGCCATATAACGCTATAAAAAATAGGGGTTGGTGGTAGAAGGGTGAAAATTTAGGGTTGTATGAATTTTTTAATGACACATAATAAATATATGAAAAACAGATAGTAGCCGATTCTCACACCTACTGAATATGCATATAAAATTTCATGAAAATCTGTAAAGCCGTTTCAGAGTATGGCTGCTAACATTGTGATACGAGAATTTTATATATAAGAAGGTACATATATCTCGTGTCACAATGTCAGTTAACATAATCCTCCCAAACGGCTTAACCGAATTTTATGAAATATTTATGCACATTTAGTTGGTCTGAGAATCGGCTACTAGCTATTTTTCATACCCCTAAGCGACAAGGATTGTCCATCCCTAACATTTTTTTAGTTTTTTGACACTTTTTTATTTTATAATGTGGCATTAAAAATACATACAACCCTAAATTTTCACCTTCTTATTTTTTAATAGCAATTTCATTTTATATGTCAAAAATACAAGCTGGTCCCAGCTTGTATTTTATATATATATTAGTTTTAGTTTTAGTCCATAAGGTATATAATTTGGGCCAATATTATTGTATAAATAATATTGAGTTGCCTGAAGCAAATAAATAAATTAATTAAAATATATATCTTTACTATTGTACACATAATGTTACTAATATTATAAACGAGAAAGTGAGTATGGATGGATAGATGGGTTGGTTAGATGTCAAATACTATTGAACGGATTTTGATAAAAACTTTACAGTAATATAATAGTATCCATTCAGTAGATTAGGCGTGAAAACAAACATCCATTCATCCATCTATCCATCCACACTCACAAACTTCCACATTATAATATAAAGTAAGATATAAAAATGATTTCCTATTACCCCTGGCTATCATACTCTTTTGGTGCCACGTCAAAGTAACCCGTGAGGCGAATGCACCATGTATCGTACAATAATAAAGTACAAGCTACTGCTACCTGTTGAGAGAGAGAGAGCTATTTTGTAAGCGACACTTAGGAATTCGAAAGCGGAATCCGAAGTGAGATTGTATAGTGGTATTCTGTAAAACTCGATAGCGACTGCAGCGCCACTTGCGGGATGGAGGTAAAACAGGCACTGATGATTTTATTAGAAATGTAGGCAAACTCGATAGCTCAGTACTCAGTAGGCACTTTATATTGACAAATGGATACTAGTGCCTTGAGTGAAGCGATGAGTGAAATTAGTTGATAATGCTTACAGAATACCAATGCTGTGCAGTAAAATAACTCATCGGAATGTTCACAGAGACCTCTGTTATAGATATGAACATACTTGGTACCCTTTTATTCATACCATGCTTACATGATTAGATGTATGGAATCAAGTATCCATGCTTGCTTATAGCATAACTATATTCGTTATGAAAGTTCCGCTTAAAAAACATAGATGGCGCGCTGTACAGTACGGAGAACTTCCATGTGGGAGCGTATCTAATTCAATTCGCGATAAAACCAATCCAAATGCTACGTTTATATTCAGCCGCTTCCCCTGCCACTCGCGGTGCCGGAAATATTGCCGGGTGACAACTGAGCGAGAGGGCTGAATGTAAACACACGCTGCCAGACCTTTGACTCGAGCACGGAAAAACGGCAATCAAGGAAGCGCCGGGCAGCGCAAGTAGCAGCGCCAATGGCATGGGAAGTATCCTGTTTACACTCTGGCGCACACTTCCCTGCCCACTCGGGCTGAGTGTAAATTGGGCTATAGCAAGAAGTTACGTAGTATAACTATAATTACTGCGCCGCTAAAATTATTTGTGGTAAAATAGTACAATCAAAATAAAACCCTGCTTGGTTGTTTTTTTATTACTATTTCTGTTGCAATGGTTTAATCGCGAATTTAACGTATGGGCTCTGTACCGTACTAAACAGTGAAGCGATGATGACAATATTATGGAATGATACTAACTAGGAATGGCATTTTGTTAATAATGAAACCCGATTAAAAATAATGAAAATATGTTTATTTGATGATAACACACATTACAATATAAATGCAATAAAACATTTTGGAGTACCAATGTACTAGTAACTAATGTATTTGTATCAAATATATCTCCTCCACTCACATATAAATGCTGTGTAGGAGATATTAACCTGTTAACCGGGAAGTTCCCGTTCAAATTATGCAACATGTACAGGGCTCGTATTGTTTCGCTAGGACATGTCAATACGTCACGCCCGGAGACCGTCATTTCATATTTCTACATTTAAATTTATACATAAAATAAATTAAAAACTATTAAATATATTATCGTTTATTAATATTTTTGAATAACAAAAGGAATCACAAAACAAGTAAAAGCACGTAAACAAAATAGAATTACACAATAGGTACATATAAAAATTCAAAACTTAATTTCTGTGTGATATATTTTAAAACAATTATTAATACATAATGCTACCCAACAATTCGGACGACGACGAAAATATAGGATGTATATAAACATATTTTCGAGGACGTATGTATTCACATGTCCTATATCCCGTACCGGATATTGATTACGCCTGACGCATTTATGCGTCTTGCCCGATTAACAGGTTAAGACCGGTATTCGGTGGTTACCTTTATACATGTTTAAACACAGAAATGTAATCATAAATATATATATAATACATTTAGATGCATGACAATTAGCTTATTATTAGGTATGGTTCATATTAAAGTAAGCGCAGGCATATATCTATACATATAAATAAAATTGGAGTGTCGGTTTGTAATATTGAAACACCAAAACAACACTTTTTACAATTTTTGTCTGTCTGTCTGTTTGTTTCGGGCTAATCTCTGAAATGGCATATTAGTAGGTAGCTGATGTAATAAGAAGTAACTTTTGTTTTAAAAAATCTTTCATTTTAGAAAAATTAAGTTAATTTCCACGCGGACGAAGTCGCGAGAACAGCTAGTTTCAAATAAAATAAACGAGTGATCATATGCTACAAGCAGCACCTATGTCTGCTATAGAAATAAGAGTTGCCGACGTCCGGATTGTTAGACTTGTTGCGTGTCCAGCCAAAATTTTCACCTAGGGATTGTATCTGGATATCCTTCATACAAGCCATTATAATGACCTAGCAAAGACACCAGTGCATAATGTAATATGTATTATAATATGTAATAAAAAAAATGTAATACTACACTAATATGTGATAATATTCCCTTTATTCTAACTCTAAAGTGTAATGTGTTGTTTTGTTGTAATGCAATAAATTTGATTTTATTTTAAGTACACCGCGATTATTATGACGCGTCCATACATTAGAGATAAGGCGTGCCATGTAGATTCGCGTGTCGTGTGCAGCTCACACACACAGTCGTCACGATGTAAAATTTCAGAAACATTGCGTAGCGCCGAAACTAGGAATAATTAATTATATGGAAGTAGTGCATTTCCTATGAGAATTGCTGTTTTTGTATCCTGTCACCTGTCCCTTCCAACCAGTATATATCATACTTACAAATAGTATAAAATAAAGTCGTTGTTTTGGTCTAAAATTTTCTCCGCTTACCTACTTCTAAAATAGGGGGGAAAGGGATCGTTAGTAATGAGGACTGTTGACCCCATTGCTAGCAATGTACCATGTCAGGTTGACCTCGCGGTTCCCCCTGGAAACCATCGTGATAAATTCCTCATTAATTTATCACGATGGGCTAACTTACCTGACCTCATGCTCATCTTATCATCCTTCACTGGTGCCCCGCCAGCGTAAACCGTTAGCGTAGGCGGGTGCACCATTCCATTATTATCCATAAAAAAAAACTTCTAAACTAAGGTCATGGTATGGTGTTTTTGTTTGAATTGTTTATAGTACATACATAGGTATTGATATTTATAGGTACAATTATAGAGAAGACATTCGTCACATGTACTGTATGTTATCTTTGTAGATACTGTATAAAGCTCAAGAGAAGTTTTAAATAAGTACAAGACGTAAAAGTTTACATTTTTTATGTCTACGCACACATATTTTTTTAACATATATATAGGTACATTCCTATTTAATATAATACAACAACGAATTAGACAAAAGAAAAAAAGTTATAATAAAACCACCCACCCTCTGGGCCTCAACACATAGATGTGTGGTTGTGTTTTGTGCATGTGCTTGTGGTTTGTGCATTAAAATTTTGTCTTCTCATGTAACTGTTGTCCAATAACAAATATTGTAAAAAATATGTATCAGCTGTTTCCATTGTTTAATATAAATAACAGAATATGGAAATATTCAAACAAAACAAATTGCAGAAGAGCAAATTACTGCTACAATTTGTTCTGTATTTAAATGCTATTAGTATTAGTAATATAGTTTAATGACCCTATTTGCTAACAATGTACTATGTCATGTCCTATAAAATTTTTATGTATTTGTCAGATTCATCTAACTGCCAGCTCAGGTAGATGAATGTCATGGTCATATCTTCCATTAGTGTGCCATCAGAATTTGCCATTACCGCAGGTTGGTACGAGATACCACAATCAGTTATTAAAAAATATATGGCCATTAATACACTTGAAAGTATAGTTTGTGTTTCAATAGATATACATACCTATGTCAGGTGCCAAATTGGATTAATTTCTCTAACTCTTAATCACTTTTGTCCATTGCACTGCTACACAGGCCACTCCTTAGCATATGCAAGCATGAACCAATGGTACTGGTCCATGTGGAGATGTCCAAAGCATAGCATGCACAAAACACAAAAAATTATGCTTTTATGGATGTTTCAAACTGTTGTATGGTTTACACAAAATAACTCTAGTCATAAATTTAATTAACATGAAATGTATCAATGTATCATAAATAGGTACTTTTTATAAAGTTTGCCATTATAAAAGGTAGCTAGATAGCTAAGGTAGTATATGTATAAATATGATCAATATGTTAATGCATTTATTTAGATTTTACTACAGTACTTCATTTTTATAATTATTAATAAGGCACTATCTTTCAAAATGTGTTAAATACTGCATATAATATTTTGAGGACTGACAGAACACAATTGACACAATCTCTAATTTTTTGTCTATATTATTTCTATCTCTCCTACAATAAAGACATTATCAAACATTCCACTTAGCCCTTTTTTGCCTTAAACTCTTTTTAATAAAATTGAATAAAAGAGTATTCACAAAAATATAATATATATAGTATTAATATAAAAACCTGAATAATTGATTACACTATCACAATATATTCTATAAAAAAGAGAATAATGAAAATTTTACAATTATTGTAATAAATAATATTCATATATTTATTATCTAAAAGATAATATGTATTTTTTACTCGCAAAGATTTAACATAATATAGTTATTTTATTTATTTTCTCCCTCATCATCAGAATAATATAAGTAGTAGTATATATTATCCACAAGTGGATAGGCAAAGGCATGAGACCATACAGCCTAATCTTCAGTAGTATTTCCATGTGATTCTAAACAGAAATAAAGAATAATATAAGTTTGAGAACATAGAAAGACAAACTTATTTAGTTCACAGAACAATTATCACTACATTTTACATGAGTTAGCACCGTGCTTATGTGAACTGAGCAAAAATTAAATGTATGAGTATCCCCTAATGCTTTTTAAAAACAACAGTTTCATACAAAACTTGATTTATTTTTTTATTTTTTTTAAATTATGAATCTATGCTAACAACTGCTTGCAATTACATTGTGTTTATACCTAATTAAATTGGTATACATATTCATAGAAAATTTGTGAATAGTGATGCAAGTCTGATTTAGCTATGCAACAGATTAATTGAAATAAAAACAAATAATTTTTCATTGGAACTACTTTTGGCATATTCAAAAGAAATGTGTTATAAAGATGATTGAAATGTTTAAATTCACTGTATGAAAATAATTATTCATGACTACATTAACACATCTTAATAGTTATAATTATGACAGATAAAAAACATTGATGCTTAATATCAAAGAATATACTACCTTAATATGATCATATTTTGAAACAAAATTTAAACTTCTTTAAAAGTAAAAAATGATGCAATCAACCTAAAAATTTTTTAAACAAATTAAGATGAAAATTACCAAAATAATTACAATGTGACCATAAATGTTTAAAAGGATATTAATTAAAATTAAAAATGGATTTACGTCTGATTACGACGGACAGACACACACCAAAACAGTTCACAGACCAAAAGCATTAAAATTTCAACTCATCGGAGTTAAATTTCTAGACGGCTTATATTTGTAGTTATTATATTTTTTATAAATATGTTGTGTATATTTTTCATGTATATTAATTAGTGACTATTAAAAAATATATATATAAAATTAGAGAAATACTTACCACACATCAGAAACCCGTACTTTTATCATAATCATAGGTTAAGAATTATTAAGTATTTAGTATATTTATCACATACGTAGTCAATATTTGTATATATCCACAAGATGTTGATAGACGATTTATAAATATAAAAGTACTTATTAATAATTTTAATTTTAATTTGATCAAACTATGTAGACATTATGAATTAACAATAACCGAATAACAAATGAAATTACGTATGAATGTAACACAATCACAGAACACCAATATCCGTGAACACAATAGTGCAGAAGGTAGGCATTTTAAAAAATAATCGATTTTTAAATCGATTATTAATTTCTAATACTTGATTTTCATAGTAATATTAATCGATTTTTAATCCATCGATTACATAAATTACGTGTTTTAATTGATTTTAATAAACAGCGTTTTAATTTATCGTTTTTAATACTGAAAATTATTGCAAGTAATTATTGTTCGTCATTTAATTGTTTAAACTAAAAGATTAACGCAATATTTGTTTTATATTTTAGTTTTTGAGACTACAACGTAGTAATTATTTTTTTTATTATCGTTTTCGTTTTATTAGTACTTTATTTTAAAACTAGTCGAATGTAAAATAAATGTTTAAATTTTGAGACAATAAGATTGTCATTTTTTGGGATCCTCATCGTTTCATTTTTATTATAATAAAACGTTTAATGATACTAAAAATTGTATAAATAATGATATTTCGTTTCCTTTTTCTTACCTTGAAAGTTTAAGACTAAAAATCGAAGCTAATGCTTCAATTTTTCGTTTTAAATTGTTATTTTTTTATTATTATTTGATTTTTAATCAAATAAATTGTTAATATCTTAGGGGTATTATTGGAATATGAAATGCATATAGATTTTTTCGCAAAAATAGATTTTTTATTTAAATAAAATTGATTGTTGACAAATCGATTAATATTACATAAATAAAAATCGATGTTTATTTAATGATTCTTGTCCATTAATTTCTACAAGAGAGGATATTACTTTATTTACCAGAGGGGGCACACTTCAATATTCTAATTTGTTTATTTTTGCAAACTAATTGAAGTTTGGAAAGTGGTGTCCTCTATAAGTTCTTATAAATACTTTGATTGGAAACTGTCTCCTTGACTGTCTAACGCGGGAGAGGGAAGTTGAAAGGAAGAGGAAATGAATAGGATAAAAAGAGGAAGAAGGGAAAAAGGACGTAGTGGGCCACGTCGCGACATTCTTTTAGTACGACGACGCGTCGTCGACAGAGCGATAGAATGTCATCTCTCCCTAGGAGCTCAGAAAGTCCCTGGGAGTCGCGCGGCAGTCCGAAGGAGTCCTCCCGCACAATCATTAACGTACGCCGGACGTAGGGCGTCCCGCGCGTGGAGACTTAGTCCCTCCTATAGACATAATAATTGGGAATGCCGAAATCCACACCGAGAGCCAATTTAATTTCACCCAGCAGCAAAACGTCTGTGTCTTGCTGCTGTGAGAGCAGCCGGAGGCCCTGTACTATGTCTCTTAACGCCCCCTGGTTTCCAGTATAACATTCTCAGTTCAGCAGCAACTAATATGGCAGTGCTACCCTAGGGCAGCTCGACGAGTAAGCTCATCTGGTCTACGGCCGGCGCTAAGGGGCACTCCCACTGGAAGCGAAGAACTAGGGGTCGAAGCCATAGGTCGTATCTTTTTTTTTGCGGTTGTGAGTAGACGATGAAAATAGGTGGATTGACGATGGGGGGATTTCGAGGGCTCTTGCTTTAGGTGCTATCGCCCCCCTTCCTCCACGTGCTACCACTTGCCATCCGCTCTCAGTCTCCGCTGCTACGTGAGCTGGGTGAGGCGTCGCGGGGGCGACAACCGGCCGTGGGGTGCTCACTTGCACATCTCACGCATCTGATAGGGTGATGGCAGTTGGACGATGCATGACCGAACGCCTGACACCGATGGCCCTGCGCTATCTTGTTGGCGGCCCGCCATGCTTCCACCGTCACACCCAGCATCCTGAGCAGGACCTTAATGCCGTATAACCTGGCAAGCTCCTCCTTGTTCAGGCGCGCCAGGATGGCCTCTTCTACCTATGATAGGGCGGACATGGCAGACATCAAATCTTAGCGCTCTTGAGCTGGCAGCCACAGCCTCTGTGGTAATACTAGCTGAGCGCCGGTGCCACATCCGCCAGGGAAAGGACCGTACCGTTGTATGACTCTGAATTCTACATTGCTTTTTGCAATAAAGCGAACTCTGTGGCCGTAGGGACGGGCATTGAGAACGTTGAGAACAGTTCCTCCTCTAACTTCGCGAAAGGCACCTGCCAATTGGGCAGGCACTCCGCCACTATGGGCAGGTAGTTACGCTCTTTGGGGAGAGAGAACTGTTGCACAGCTGGAGCGGGAGACATGGGGTTTGAGGACGTATTATTATATTTAGCAGTTTAGCAGATTTTGTATTAAGTGTTGGCAACACTGGTAGTGGCTAAAATAAGTGAAACTGATATATTCACGCAGACGGCAAGTCAATAAAAATGTTATCAGAGTAAGTTATAAAAATGTTAGCAGTAAGTTTATCTGCGTTGATTCAACATATGCCCATCACGTGTTATTCAAGTTCTATGTTCCATAATTCGGTGCTAAATAGGAAAGTAATCGCCTTTCATATTAATAATCTCCATAATGTGGCCGGTGGCGTTTAATAGGACGATAGATTCGTACAGGGTTTATTTTGTTTACAATCGTAGAATGTAGTCTTGATTATAGTGTTTTAATGTAAACCTAATATTTCATTGTTGGAAGATACTGCAAATAATTTGAATTCGACATGTCTTGAATTTCCTGCATATAATCTGTTTAGTTGGTAGGTACAATTTAATTTTTTTATAAAATCATATCTGATTTATTAGGAATATCCTAAGTTCCAAGTATCAATGTATAATAATACATTGATACTTGGAACGATTAAAAATATCAATGTGTTTATGAATTTTAGAACATATTTATTAGGAACATATAGTTTTTATAATTTATAAACATACAAATATGTTCTTTTAAATCTACATCACCCTGGCCCATATCAGGTCTGGTCTTATGACAGTAGTTTATACTGTACTATGTTGTAGTATTGGTAAATAGAATTTATTGTACTGTCAACCCTAGACTATATGTGGCAACACTGTAAGATTGCATTAAATATGTGACTTTTTGGCGGGAAGTCAAATTGAGCGGGTGTTTTAAATTTTCTCCTTTTTGATTTTTTTATTTTAATTGTAATTTTATTGTAAATATTGTATATCTTATTGTAAATACCTAAATAATAAATCAAGCAAAGAAAATGAGTGATAGTAGCGACGGGGGAAACCCCGTCGACCGTGGAAAAGTCAACGCGGCAAAAAACGGAAGATGTCGCCGAATCATTTAATTATATCCGAGGACTATAAAATGTATACAAAACCCAATTACAAAAGACAGTTTCCTGAAAATCATAGTGTAGATTGTGTTGTCTATGTAGAATCTACAGAAAATGAAAAAGTAGGGAATAAAAACCCCATTACTTTAACAAAGTTATTCACCGAAAATGTGAAAGGCATTGCAGGTGTACACAGAGTAAACGCCTATAAAATAGGTGTGACCTTTCGAAAGCCCGCACCAGCCAATAATTTTTTAAAAATGGACAATTTTTTAAACAAGTATAAATTCAAGGCTTTTGTACCAGCATATATCACAGAAAAAACTGGTATCATAAGATACGTACCGACAGACATGTCCAACGAAGATATTTATAAAAGTATTAGTTGTGATACCGAAGTGATATCCATCAAACGTTTTATGAAAAAAGTAGAGGGAAAACTATCTCCATTGGGCACTGTAGCCGTCACATTTGCAGCTACCACTTTACCACAATATGCCTACATACAATTATTTAGATATCCTGTACACACTTATATTCCACCATTAGTCCAATGTTACAAATGTCTGAAGTTTAACCATTCAGCTAAAGTATGCCGTAGCTCACAGATGTGCTCATCATGTGCTGGTCAACACTCATACAAAGAATGTGATGTAGAAGAAATCGTTTGTATCAATTGTAGTGGTAACCACTTAGCAATTTCGAGAGATTGTCCCATTAAAAAGAAGAAAATTGAAGAAAAAAGAAGTAAATATGTCAATCACTCCTATGCCGCTGTTGTGAGTATGCCCTCAAGTAGTACAACCCCAAAAGTATATCCCACTTTAGAGAAATCTTTAAATGTATATAATTCACAATTTAAACAAAATGTAAATAATAATAATACTGCATTCAATGCAGATCAAATTGTAAATAATGAAATTATAATTAATGCATTAGTTAAATCTCTTGTTGCTCTCGGTAACAACAAAGAGAAAATGTCAATAACTAATAAGACAATAAAAGAAATATTGTTGTCAAATTTAATTTAATGAATACATACTTAAATATAGCCCAGTTTAATATACAAAGCTTACAGAGTAAAAAAGCTCTGTTGCAAAAATACATGAA